ATCGTTATGGGGACGGTTATGCATAGTGGGCTTAGAATATGGGCAGTTTTAAAACTGCTCGACGGTTACCTGTCCTAGCGGTTGGGGATGTCAACCGCAACTTGCCTGCGGACCTATATAAAGGCATTGAGCTGCACAATCGCGGGTAATGAGCAATACCGCGAGTTTGTGTGCATGCCTTGGCGAATTTTTCCAGCGATAGTGAAATTGTTGGTTGGGCGTGGAGCCCGTAAATATTGTTGCCTTGTCTGTTTGCTTGATGCTTTCTGTATGCGTTGCTTGTTGGTGTATTGCTTATAACACTATTCCGAATTTATATAATCAAGTTGTGCTTTTAGTGTGAAGGAAAAAGGCTGACTGGTTAGGTGAAAAACCAGGCCGCACAGGGTATTAAGGGTGCGAAAATTTTAGCCTCTTTTGAGACTCTGTGACACGTACCCTCGTGCGCCTCCATGCGCGACCTTCAATGGCCTGCTCCCGTGCACTCTTTGCGCCTCGCATACGGGCTCGTACGCGTCTCTTAGATCATGCATGCGTCGTTTTGGCCCTTTCCTTGGCCCTCTCGAGTTGTCTCGGTCCTTGGCACGTGGCGTGCTCGGGCCTCGGAACACGTGTTCTCATCAACGCTGCTGGGCGTGTGACGCGTTGCGGTGTACGCAGGTGAACGGAGATGTGCGCTGCCGTGCGCGTTGGCGTGCACTGTGCACGTCCACACGTATAACCTCGGCATCGCGACGCTTGACTGCCGAGTACTAGGCACGCGTGCACGTTACTGGGCACGCGGACGCTGCCTGCGTACTCGCTGGGCCTGCCGGACGCACCTGCGCGCACGCTGTGCGCGGTAGGCATCACGGTCGGCATTTTGCCGGCCGTCCGGCTACTTTTTCCGGCAACCCATACATGACTGATTATGTTTTCACTTAAAATGACGGAAAATACATAGATTACTCGGGACTTGCCGGGTTTATTTTGAAATCACTCGGAGGGAGCTTATCTAGCATCCCCGAGGCCATTTTCATACAAAACATAAACTAAACGACACGATTTTAACATGACCTCACTGATATGAACTTAACTACATAAAAAGAGGGTAAATAAGTGTATACCCTTCAGTTCAGACGGTAGTTGCACGGTGGCTTGCGAGAGCTTGCACGGTGCGTATGGTGGTGTGCGTATACTTCCTTTATCCTCGGCTACCATTAGGGATTTTTGTATGATTTTTCTCCAACGTTTCCTTACTATTTTTCACTCAGATTTTAGGCTGAAGTTTGGCTTGTTTTGTACGAAATTGCATGGGAAAAACTCATGCATTTTACCTTATTAAATAATGGAGACGGATGGAGGTGAATTTGGGGCCAAACACTTATTGGTCCACTTGCTTTTACCACACGAATTGGTGGCAATATGGCTGCATTGTCATCACCCTATGTGGCATGAAAAGCGCTAGGTGGCGTCCTATGCATGGGCTTAGTCACCACTTGTGGCTTCATGTGGTGCCATGTGTACCAAGCAAGTAGGTGACTCATGATCACCACTTGCACCCAACGTTTATCTTGGGTAAATTTCTCACGGCATCACTAAGGAGTTGGAAACTAGATTACTTAACTTGATCGTAGTGTTTAGCTTAGCTAAGCTAATGACGGGCTATAGCTTAGCACCGTGCGTGTGTTACGTGCGGTAACATGCATTGTGCACGGCTGCACATGCGCGTAAATGTTCGGTCTCGCACATTGATGCATGACTTGCGTGCGTGAATGATGTGCATGTCTGAGACTTAGCTTAATTTTGATTTGAACTTAATTCCGAACATTATTGACTATTAATAATTAATCCCGATTAATAAATATCCGTTTATAAAATAAACGGTTCGGAAATTAATTATCGAATTTTGACTCGGTTAATAATTAACCGGATAACTTTTCGACTTAACATCGAATGTATTCGCTGAAAATGAACAGAGTCAATAAAAGAAAAAATACATCATTTCACTAACAAGAAGTTGGGTTATTACAATCTACCCTCCTTAAAATATTTCCATCCTCGGAAATATAAAACAAAACATATATATATGTACATGAAAGATATACACATCAAAACTTAAAGTCGGGAAAGCGAGCGCGAATGTCAGCCTCCTGCTCCCAAGTGGCTCCGTGGCGATCCCACTGAATACGAACGAGGGGAACATTACGCTTCCTGAGCCGTCGAACCTGTCGGTCCAACACAGCTACCGGTCGCTCCTCGTAAGATAAGTCTGGATGAATCTCAATATCAATGTGAGGAATGACATGATTGGGGTCGCACACGTACTTACGTAACATAGATACATGAAAGACATTGTGAATACTGGATAACTTGGGAGGTAAGGCTAAGCGATACGCAACATCGCCCACTCGCTCGAGTACCTCGAACGTGCCATTGAACCGAGGGTGTAACTTCCCTCTCTTCCCGAATCGAACAACTCCGTGAAATGGACTAACTCTGAGAAAAGCGTGCTCGCCAACCTCGAATTGGATATCTCGTCGATGATGATTGGCAGTTGATTTCATTCTGCTCTGAGCTGTTCTGAGTCTCTGCTGGATCAACTCGACTTGCTCGGCTGTCTCCTCGATCAGCTTCGGACCGAGTACTCGACGTTCACCGACGTCATCCCAATAAAGAGGGGAACGACATTTACGACCGTATAGTGCCTCATAAGGAGCCATCTGAATAGAAGAATGATAACTATTGTTGTACGCAAACTCGACGTACGGCAATAACGACTCCCATTTAGCACCCCTGTCAACAATCAAAGCGCGCAACATATCCTCCAATGTCTGTATAGTCCGCTCCGTCTGTCCGTCAGTCTCGGGATGGTAGGCTGAACTGAAGGCTAGCTTCGTACCCATCGCCTCGTGTAAACTCTTCCAGAATCTACTGGTGAATCTGGGGTCTCTGTCTGACACGAAAGTAACAGGTACTCCATGGAGTCGAACGATCCCACGGACATAAATCTCAGCCAACCGATCCAAAGACATATTCATCGATACTGACAAGAAATGAGCAACCTTAGTCAATCTGTCGACCACGACCCAGATAATGTCGTGATGTTCAGACGACCTCGGTAATCCCGTAACAAAATCCATCGCAACCTCCTCCCACTTCTACCTCAGAATCGGCAGTGGTCGTAGAAGGCCTATGGGACTCTTATGCTCGGCTTTTACTTGCTGACAGGATAAACATCTTCTTACAAAGTCGGCCACGTCTTTCTTCAATCCTCTCCACCAAAACGACCCTTTCAGGTCATGGTACATCTTTGTACTTCCTGGATAGGCTAGATAGGGTGCGGTATGAGCCTCAGATAAAATCTTCTTTTCTCAATGCTTCGTCTTCTGGCACCACAATCCTGCCACGAAACTGCAAGGCCCCATTAGTGCCTCGGTGAAAACCCTCGACGTCTCCGGCACGAACCTTGGCATCAATCGTACGAATAAACTCATCTGAAGCCTGCTCTTGCCGCATTCTCTCCCTCAGCATCGGCTGAACCTGCATGGAACTCACACTCCCCGTACTGGCGGTAGGAAGTGCATCAATTACATGAATCCACATCCGGGCGAACTTTCGTATCAACTGACTCTGCTGAGTAACAACGTATGTCAGGTCACCCTTTACCTTGCGGCTTAGGGCATCAGCAACAACATTCGCCTTTCCCAGATGATACTGAATCGTACAATCATAATCCTTGACGAGCTCTAACCAACGGCACTGTCTCATGTTGATCTCCTTCTGAGTAAAGATATATTGTAAGCTCTTATGATTGGAAAAGATTTCGCATTGACCGCCGTATAGATAGTGTCGCCAAATCTTAAGGGCATGAACAATTGCAGCTAATTCCAAGTCGTGCGTCGGATAGTTCTGTTCATGTGGTTTAAGCTGGCGTGACGCATAAGCAACGACTTGGCCATCTTGCATAAGTACACATCCCAAACCCTGCCTCGAAGCATCACTATAGATGGTGAAACTCCGAGAAGGATCTGGAATAGTCAACACCGGTGCCGTCGTAAGCCTCCTTTTCAGCTCCTGAAAACTCGACTCACAACGGTCTGTCCATTCGAACTTTACAGACTTCCTCGTCAACTGAGACAAAGGGAGGGCAATCTTCGAGAACCCCTCAATAAATCTGCGATAATAACCTGCAAGGCCGAGGAAATTACGAACCTTAGACGGATTCTTCGGTGCTGACCAATTCTGGACTGCAGCAATTTTGGAAGGATCAACTTCAATACCTGCTGAAGTAATAATGTGGCCAAGAAAAGCCACTCGCTGAAGCCAAAATTCGCACTTGGAGAACTTTGCATATAACTTCTCGCGTCTAAGGGTTGAAAGAACGGCCCTCAGGTGCTCCTCGTGCTCATTCTGGCTCTTGGAATAAATAAGAATGTCATCGATGAAGACAATAATGAACTGGTCGAGAAAAGGATGAAATACACGGTTCATCAAGTCCATGAATACTGCCGGGGCATTACTGAAGCCAAACGGCATAACCACAAACTCGAAGTGACCGTATCTCGTACGAAAAGCTGTCTTGGGTATGTCTGACTCCTTGATTTTCAGTTGATGGTAGCCTGAACGCAAATCAATCTTGGAAAACACGCAGGCACCTCTCAACTGATCAAATAAATCATTGATCCTGGGAAGCGGTTATTTATTCTTGATCGTCAACCGGTTAAGATCCCGGTAGTCGATACACATACGCATGGATCCGTCTTTCTTCTTCACAAAAAGGACTGGTGCTCCCCAAGGAGAAACGCTCGGTCGTATAAAACCGAGATTCAGCAACTCTTGAATTTGAGTCTTTAATTCCTGCAATTCTTTAGGCGACATCCTGTACGGTGCCTTTGAAACGGGTCCGGCTCCAAGGATAAGATCAATAGAAAATTTCATCTGTCGACTAGGTGGACCTCCAGGAAGCTGGTCTGGAAACACGTCCACGAACTCACGAACGATAGGAATGTCATGAGGTGAACGTGCCTTTGGCTCATCTCCAACGAGGTTCACAAGATAACCCTGGCAATCACCCCGTCGAAGAATCTTTCTGGCTTTAGCCATAGAAATAACATGAGGTAGAGTACGAGTCCTGGAGCCGTAATAAGTGATCTGATCATCTCCCGAA